AGTCCCTGCCAAGGCCTCACCACCCTTTCCATGAGGAAATTCCTCCTCAGCCCCAACCTGACCCTTCCCTGGCACAGCTTGATGTGTCCAGTGGCACTTGGCCAGCACAGGTCACCTGCCCATGGCACCCTTGTCTGTCTGGGATGGAGCTCCTGAGCAGGGCTTGGCTCTCTGTCCGTGGGGCTTGGGAGCAGATCCTGCTGGCACTGCAGGTTCCTGTAGAATCCAGCTGGGAGCAGTGGAGGTGGCTGAGGGACACCTCGCTGGGGCTCCTGCACTGGCAGAGGACGTGCTGTGTCCTCAGGCCTGAAAGGAGCTGTCCTTGCCGTGGCAGGAGAACCCCTACCCCGCAGTGACCATGCACAAGGTGCAGAAGCCCACGGAAGGTTGTCACCTGCGGCTCCACCAGAAGCCCTTTCCCCGGCTGGACGAGGGGACGGTGCAGTGGATCATCGACCAGGCCACGGCCAAGCTGCAGACGGCCCCTCCGGCCGTGAAGGCCGAGAAGAAGTGCATGGTGCCATCGGGGCCCCCCATCGGTACGTGTGGGCACAGGAGGGACCCTCCTCGGCCTGTCCGAGGGGCCGTGGCAGCAAAACGTGGAGGAGCAGCAGCACCTCCTTAACTCCTGCCCCTCGGGCTGCTCAGAGCGCCCCGGGGTCTGTCAGCACCCTGAGGGGGCACACCCCAGGGTCTCTTGGAGCCCAGACCCTGCCCACAGGGAGCAGGGGGGCACCATGTCCCCCCCCGGGGGTGCAGGTCCTGCCCTGACTGGACCGACCGGATTCTCTTCCCAGCTGCCATCCTGGAGCGCAACGGCAACGCCCTGGCCAACAGCGCCCGGCGCCTGGAGGTGGTCAGGAACTGCATCTCCTACGTCTTCGAGAACAAGATGCTGGAGGCCAAAAAGGTGAGGGGGGTCCTGAGGCTGGGGGGAGGAGAGGGGCGGGTTGCTCTCCTCCGTGGCAGGGTGGGGAGGACGTTCCCTGCCCGTGTCCAGATCTTTGCTGGTCAGCTTATGTTCATGGGATCATGGAATCCCGTGAGGTTGGAAAAGCCCTCGGAGCCCATTGAGTCCAACCATCCCCCAGCTCTGCCAAGGCCACCACTGACCCCTGTCCCCAAGTGCCACATCCACAGGGCTTTGAAATCCCTCCAGGGACGGGAACTCCCCCCTCCCCTGGGCAGCTGTGCCAGGGCTGGACAGCCCTTTCCAGAAGGAATTTTCCCAGTATCCAACCTGACCCTCCCCTGGCCCAGCCTGAGGCCGTTTCCCCTTGGCCTGTCCCTTGTTCCCTGGCAGCAGAGCCCGACCCCCACCTCAGTAATAGAACCATGGAGTCACTGAGGTTGGAAAATCCCTCTGGGACCATCGAATCCAACCGTTCCCCAGCACTGCCAAGGCCACCCCTGCCCCATGTCGTGTTCCCCCCTGATCCTACCCGTGTCCCACAGCTGTTCCCGGCGGTGCTGCGTGCCATGAAGGGCCGGGCCGCCCGGCACTGCCTCACCCAGGAGCTCAACCTGCACGTGCAGCAGAACCGGGCGGTGCTGGACCACCAGCAGTTCGACTTCGTCATCCGCATGATGAACTGCTGCCTGCAGGTGGGACGGGGCTGGCAGGGACCTGCTGCTCCCTCCTGGGAGCGGGGTCGGCCGTGGGAGTGGGGTCCTGGTCCCGGATCCCCCGTCACCCCCGCTCCCTTCCCCAGGACTGCACGGCCATGGACGAACACGGGATCGCCGCCGCGCTCCTGCCGCTGGTCACCGCCTTCTGCAGGGTGAGCTGCTCCGGGCCCGGCGGCCTCAGAGTCCCTGGAGAGGGCAGAGGCTGAGGGTGGAAGGGCAGAGAGCCAGGGGATTGTCCCATTGGGGCTTTTCAGAGCACAGCTCCTGCCCAGAACCTTCCAGCCCCTCACGGGCTCCCGGGGTGGCTGGAACACCTACGGGAAGGGCGCTGCTCTGGAATGCCAGCTTCATCTGTTGCTCTGGAATGCCAGCTTCATCTGTTGCTCTGGAATTCCAGCTTCATCTGTCCATCAGGGTGGGCTGGGATGAGGTTCTACCTCCTGTAAAACAGTGGCACTGAGGGCTCTGGGTGGGCGCTGGGCAGGAGAAGAGTTTTCCAGGAATCCTGGAGGAGCTCTGGTGCAGATGTTCCCCCTGCCTGCCCAAGGGCCGGGGGCTGTCCCAGCAGGTGGCTAGAGCAGGGGTTGCCAGGGAGCAGAGCCTGGCACAAAGGCCACGTTTGTATGGACCTTTTCCACCTTCTCCCTCCGCAGAAGCTGAGCCCGGGCATCACACAGTTCGCCTACAGCTGCGTGCAGGAGCACGTGGTGTGGACCAACATCCAGTTCTGGGAGGCCATGTTCTACTGCGACGTGCAGAACCACATCCGGGCCCTCTACCTGGACAGCAACGAGGAGAACCACGCGGAGGAGGTGAGGAGACCGTGACTGAGTCCGGGGATGACGAGCAGCTCTTCACAGAGGTCTGCAAGCTGATCGTGGAATCATGGAATGGCTTGGGTGGGAAGGGACCTTAAAGCCCCTTCCATCCTATGGGCAGGGACACCTTCCACTAGCCCAGGTTGCTCCAAGCCCCATCCAACCTGCCCTTGGACAATTCCAGGGATCCAGGGGCAGCCACAGATGCTCTGTGCTAATTGCCTGTTCTGGGCAACCTGCTCAGATGAGAATCAGGGACCTCATCCTGGTTTTGGGAGATTCCTGTGGGAACGGTGGGGTGAAGGTGGGTGGATCTGTCCATGCCAACAACCAACACCTCCTTCCAACCCCTTCAGGAGAGCACGGAGGAACCCCAGGAAGCCAAGTCTGCCCTGGAGATCGCGTCGGAGCAGCTGCGGCTCTGGCCCACCATGAGCCGGGAGAAGCAGCAGGAGCTGATCCAGAAGGAGGAGAGCACCGTGTTCAGCCAGGCCATCCACTACGCCAACCGCATGAGCTACCTGCTCCTGCCCCTGGACACCAGCAAGAACCGGCTGCTCCGCAGCTCCGGCCTGGGGGACGTCGAGAGCGTCAGCAACAGCTTCGTCACCAACAGGTGAGGGGACCCACGGGGGGACACCCGTGATGGGGACGGCAGCTCCTGGGGCACCCCGGTCAGTCACTGCCCTCAGGACACGGGAGATGTCCCTGCTCGCTGCAGGGAGGTTGGACAACGTGGACTTCAAAGGTCCCTTCCGACCCCAGCCACGCTGGGATCCCGGGATTCTGTCAGGACTGAGGCAGGTTGTGGTGCCCAGGGGGTTTTGGGGAGTGGGAGCTCTCCTGTGTTCCTGTCAGGAGTGGGAGTTTTCCTAGATCCATACCAGGAGTGGGAGTTTTCCTAGATCCATACCAGGAGTGGGAAGTCTCCTGGATCCATATGAGGAATGGGAGCTCTCTTGGATCCATATGAGGAGTGGGAGCTCTCCTGTGTTCCTATGAGGATTGGGAGCTCTTCTGGGTCCATATGAGGAGTGGGAGCTTTCCTGTGTTCCTATCAGGACTGGGAGCTGTCCTGGGTCTGTATCAGGAGTGGGAGCTCTGCTGGAGCTCTCCTGCATTCCTACGAGGAGTGGGATCTCTTCTGGGATCCCGCCAGGAGTGGAACCTCCCTGGAGCTGCTCCCAGCCCGGGTTGCAGCCAGGCAGGGCTGTTCCAGGTTGACCCTTCCCTGCTCCCCGGGCAGCATCGCCGGGAGCGTGGCCGAGAGCTACGACACCGAGAGCGGCTTCGAGGACGCCGAGAGCTCCGACGTGGCCAACTACGTGGTGAGGTTCATCAACCGCTTCGTGGACAAGGTGTGCACCGAGAGCGGCGTCACCAACGAGCACCTCAAGGGGCTGCACGTCATGATCCCAGGTGGGGACGCCGGGGGTGGGCACGGGGGTCCCACGGGGGGCAGCGGGGGGCACGGGGTGGGCAGGGCAGGGCTCTGCTCCGGCCTCACCCCCTGCGTGTCACAGACATCGTGCAGATGCACATCGAGACCCTGGACGCCGTGCACAGGGAGAGCAAGAGGCTTCCTCCCATCCAGAAGGTATGGGGGGTCCCGCTGGGACGGGGCTGGAGCCGTGGGGGGCTGCGGAGACCCCCCTCCCGTGCTCCTCGGGGGCTGAACTCCCCATTGTCCCCCCCAGCCGAAGCTGCTGCGCCCCAACCTGCTGGTGGGGGAGGAGTGTGTGATGGAGGGGCTGCGCGTGTGCCTCATGCCCGACGGGCGCGAGGAGGCTGCCGGGGGCAGCATCGGGGGGCCGCCCCTGCTCCCCGCCGAGGGAGCCATCTTCCTCACCACCTACAGGATCATCTTCAAGGGAACCCCCACCGACCCGCTGGGTGAGGGGCTGGGGCACCACGGCCTCGGGGGCAGCGGGGATCCCTGGGGAGCAGCGGGATGGTTGGGGATCCCTGGGGAGCAGTGGGATGGTTGGGGATCCCTGGGGAGCAGTGGGATGGTTGGGGATCCCTGGGGAGCAGTGGGATGGTTGGGGATCCCTGGGGAGCAGTGGGATGGTCGGGGATCCCTGGGGAGCAG